TTGGGCGGAACTAGGCGGTGTAGGACTGGAGCTGATGTTCAACAACACAGACCCTTCAAAATCCACAAATATTCAAAATATTTGCATGCTCTGCAAACTGAAGTGTGTACATAGTACACTCTATGCTTCCAAGTACACTCTTATTTACAGCATACTTGCTAGGCACACGCTTAAATAGAGTGTACCTGGCAAGTACACGCTAAATAAGTGTGTACCTTGTAAGTACACGCTAAAATACACTCGATTAGTCCTATCTAAAAGTATGGGCCAGTTTAAGTGTACTTGCCAGGTACACTCTTATTTAGCGTGTAAATGCAATGTACTCTCTATTTTGGCGTGTGCCTAGCAAGTATACTGTAAATAAGAGTGTACCTGGACATGCTCTAATAAGAGTGTACTATGTAAACACTTCAGTTTGAACGTTTCGAAACTTCGGAAAAAAAATGCTTGCGGTCTTGCGGTTTTATTACTTATGCAAATCTCCGTGACTACGACCACAGAAATGAAGGCTTTTATGCAAAACACTCCGCGCCATCTCGCAAGAGCGCGATCAAGCAGAACTTTGGGAATGGGAATTTGTTTCACTCTGGAACTGTCTTTTTAAGGTTGTAAAAATTGTTGAGTTAGCCAGAGTCATCAGGTGTTCGTACCCAATTTTCGTTTCCCGGTGTCGACGAAACAAACAGTTACCAAGCGAAGACGCGAGCCAGGCCAATCATTTCGCGCGAGAATCAATCCATCTCCAGTGTGGTGACACCGTCCAACGGCCGTGAAGCGGCTCAGCAGACGATGATCGATTTCCTCGTCGATTTCCGCCGAAAGGGTCAAGACTGCGAGGACAAAGGTCGTCGATCATTTTCAAGAGTGCGCCACTCTCGGGCATCATCGCTGCATCTTTTATATTTTTTTTTATTTTTTAATTTTTTTTTTGCCCTGTAGTTGCAGCAGAGTCTTGATGCGGCAATCCATCCCCCGTATCAAGGACCGACCCGGCAACAAAAGGAGGGCGTAATTTTCCACCTTATTAATCCGCAGCAGCACCACGTGTGCGGGGCGGGGCGGGGCGGGGCGAGACACGTCGCTAATCGATCGCAACAGACGACGCTCCGTGACGCCTTCAAGTCCAAATGGTATATAAGGAAAAAACACTTAATGGCCGTGCATTGAGGGGAGGAACGCGTGTGTCTTTCTGCGTGCGTATCTTGCTTCGCGATGCTGCGTGTGCTGTCTACAGAAGGTTAAGAGCAGCGAGAAAAATAACTTAAATAAACTAAATTATAATATTTTTTTAAAGAAACTACGGCAATTTTCTTAAAAATCAATGTAGTAAGTTCGGCTTAAGTATATCAAGAGATTTTGCTTTCTCGTCTGACCATTTGATTTTAGAGCGTCCGTCCTTTGCGTTTTGATTTTAGAGTGCCCATCCCACGCGCGCGCGCGCGTGCGTGATTGCCCACTGACGACTGTTAGTTTCGTTTGGGCAGCTTAGCATGTGGTGCCCATACCAGACACTCGACGATGCCTCCTACCGCAGCTCGAAGAGCGCCTTCGTCGCTCTGTCTCTCTCGCACTCATGGGAGTGGGAGTGCGAGCGAGCGAGAGCGCGCAACTGCAGAGCCCTGGCAGAGCCAGCCGCGTCGATGATGGGCCGATGGCGTGTTCCGTCGAATCACTATTTCACGACCAAGCCGTCCCAAACTCGAGCCTTCACCCTTCCACGCCGGGCCAGCAGGCCGCGGTGGGCTTGTTGAGAATCGATGCCCTCAAAGGACGACTCAGTGGGCCAGAAGACCGTCGAGGCGGCCGGGCCAAGACTCTAGACGCGTTTTGAGACGCGAACCGAACGTGTGACCCCACCAATTGATTATCCTCATTCGGAAAGCAATCCATTGGTGGGGGTCACACGTTCGGTTCTAATCCCATTTAGCGACTCTGGAGCCGTCCGGGATTTTGACCGCCTCCCTCTGTCTTCTGGCTCACTGTGATCCGTGTTTTGGCAAGCATCATGGCTTGGTGAAAGTATCCTTGTTCCAAGGACAATATGCCTCATTCTGAGAAAATCTTCTTATTTCACGAAATGTTTGTGCTTTTCTGAGTGCAGAGGCAGGGAAGTCCCACAGACCGCTCTTCTCAATTTTTTGCAGTGTGTCGCCGTGTCGTCAGCCACACTCGGGGCGCGCCTCTTCGCGCCGACATCCCCTTCAGCTTTGACCAATTCCCTCTCCCTTTTTTTCCCTCCGCGTCCTCTTCTTTCGTCGAAGGAGTCGCTATGTCCTTGCCGCCCTGAGTCAGCCGAAGGCAGCGCCACAGTCGCTGCTTGCTCGCTCCGTCTCTGTCGCACTCACGGGGCGCTCCGTAGGGGTGCGAGAGAGGCAGAGCAGCGACTTTTCGGAATGGCTCGCGGCGAGGCGAGGCAGTGGCCCAGCCAGCATGGCGCAGGGGCGGATCCAGGGTCGGGAGAGGTCATTTCGTACAAGACGAGAGAGCCGGAGGAGGGGAGGGGAGGGCGCCGCCTCTCTCGAAGGCCGAACGGCCAAACGGGCGAAACGACCTCTCAAGCTGCACGCCGCTGCGCTGCACTCGTCTCAGTGAAACATCTCTTTGCATCACGGAGCATCATCATCATTCTTTAAAAAAAAAAAAAAAGAATGCGTATACAGTAAAACCCTGATTTTTCATGAAGTTTGGTGTCTCGAATTATTGTTGTTGAAGAGCAGCCATTCCCATCACCACTTGTTTAACTGTATTACTTTTTTGCGAAAAAAAAATTAATTTCATTAAAAAGCATTTAAAAAAATGAAATAGAAAAATAGAAAATAGTAAAAATATGAACCTGTAAAAGTGTGCCAAGGTGCCCCCCCCCCCCCCCCCCCCCCCCGGTTCCCAACTCCCCTCGCACCAGACGCCGCCACGCAGACGATTGTTTGCCGAATTGCCATCGATGCCAATAATTCGGTAATCCGGCCACGCACATATTCCCCCCCCCCGCCTTCCCCCTCCCCCTTTCCGGCGGAGGGCCTTCTCTTTGCTTTTGCCTTTTCGTACGACGAGAACAAAAGAAAGCCCAGTGGCGCGTGCGTGCCGCCCAGACAGGGGGGGGGGGGCATAGGTGTCGCCGCAGTCACTGGTTCCTGTCGGTTCCTTTGCGCGCCCCGCCGCGCCCCGCCGGCCCGACAGAGGGGCCGAACCCGACAGCGCCAGGCAGACGCAGGACGCGGGGGCGGGAAAAAATACCTACGTGATCGATTCGGGGAGAGTCACTTGGAGAAAAAAAATAGAAAAGCCTCGCAAATTAACTAGGGAAATGGATTCGAAATGGTGCGTTCTTGCTCTAATTTAGGCGAGTTTTAGGTTTAAACGCTCTGACCTCAGTGATCGCAGTTTAAATTTTTAAACCGAAATTAAATAAAGATTTGTTTAAACGTTGTTGTTTCATTTTTTTAAGTCAGAATCAAGGTTTTGAACTACCACTACACTCATCGCACTGCAGCAGGACCGAGTAGGACTGAGCTACCGCGGCATCCCGTGTCCAGACAGTCAGTCCAGACTCGGGAGAGGAAGGCACGCGTCGCTAATGTTGGGCGTATGCGAAAGAATTCCCTGCGCCGTCCCGCCGCGTCCGTCCCGTCCCGTCCGACCGTGTTGACAGCAAGATGCACCGCTGCAGCGGGAGGAAATTCCCTGCATAAACACTCCCTGCGACGTGCACAAAGAATTCAAAGTGTGAGAGTGTGTGTGTGAGAGAGAGAGAGGTGAGTGTGTATTCATTAAAGTGAGTATGTGTGTGTGTGTGGGGCGGGGGGAGGGGGTGCCTGCGTTCAAGTGCGAATGTGTAAGCGTGTGTCAGGCGCATGTCGTGTGTGTGTGTGTGTGTGTGTGTGTGTGTGTGTGTGCGCGCGCGTGTGTGTGTGTGGTATGTGTGTGTGAGTGTGCGCGCATGAGGGCACGCGTGGGCGTCTCTGTGTCTAGCAGTGCATTGCCTGCGCATCAGACCACGTAGGACCCATCAGCGGGGTACGTGCAGTCGGTGACAGCGTGCGGACGGACCGCGGACGGACAGTACACCGCCAGACGCCCAAACGTCTCCACCTGGAACGACGGAGAGTCGTCGTGCTCAGTCAGAACCATATTTTGGAAAAGAAGGTGGGGCTTCATCGCCGAAATTTTGGCGAAGGATTAGTTTATCGATGACCCGATTTTCGGGAACGGAAGGTTTAGGATGATGAGAGTAAGGGTGTCAATTGTTAACCTTAAACCACTGAACCATTAAACGTATTGTCCCCCAATTTGGGTGAGAGAGTGAATGGGTGAGTGAGTGAGTGAGTGAGTGAGTGAGTGAGTGAGTGAGTGAGTGAGTGAGTGAGTGAGTGAGTGAGTGAGTGAGTGAGTGAGTGAGTGAGTGAGTGAGTGAGTGAGTGAGTGAGTGAGTGAGTGAGTGAGTGAGTGAGTGAGTGAGTGAGTGAGTGAGTGAGTGAGTGGGTGAGTGAGTGGGTGAGTGAGTGAGTGAGTGGGTGATGAGTGAGTGGGCAGTGTACCCGTTCGGCGGCAGTCCCCCGAGTAGACGCACGGTGGAGCCACGTTGCGGCGCGTCGCGGCCCACGGACGACCGATTCATATCGAGATATCGTCAACTTTATATAGCCGAGGTTTCCTGCCGTCCTCACTGACGGTCTTCGCCGGCTTCGCCTCCACGCCGGCAAGGCTGTCTGCTTGGAATGCAGTCGGCGAGCTTGGCGGCACAAAGTCCGAATCCAGGCATGGATTTTGAGGGGCGGGAGGGGGGAGAAGGAAAATTGACCTCCCCTTGGCTCCTAAATAGCCACCAGAAAGGTAGGAAAAAGAATCCGCACTTTGCCCCTGTCAGGAGGTGACCTAGGTGGGGTCATACCTTCGGATTCAGTTCCATTTAGCGACTCTGGAGCTCAAAACGCCGGATGAGGCACAATCATACCAAGTATACATCTTTATTTGTCTAAAAAGACTGAATAAAAAGAAACACATAGCCATAAGTTTTTCTTTAATGAACAAATGAAGGCCAAATAAATGTTTACTCAATTCGATTTCGCAAGGTAAAGTACACAGTCGGCTATACCACTATCATGCCAGTATAATAGGGAGAATCTTCAACATAAGACTTTTAGAGTTGGCCGGAGTTGGCACCTTCATCTGGTGACCGTGGTCGCTCTAGAGTCGCTAAACAGGACTGGAACTGAACGTGTGACCCCACCAATGGACTCCTCGTACGGAGAGCGAGCAATCCATTGGTGGGGTCACACGTGCGGTTCCAGTCCCATTTGGCGACTCTGGAGCTCAAAACGCGTCCGGGGTTTCGACCGCCTCCACCGTTCTTCTGGCCCACTGCGGGCCTGGGCGCGGTAGTCGCGCGCTAGTCGCGCTAGTTGCGCGCCTCGATGGCGGTGACCTCCTCGACGAAGGCCAGGAAGGAGGCGACGCGCGTGAAGACGACGGGCAGGCCGAGGGTGCAGCCGTCCGCCGCGCCGAACGACGCCACCCCCACGACGGTCCAGTTGCCGTCGGCCTCCCGCAGCGCCAGGGGGCTGCCGCCGTCGCCCCTGCAGCTGCTCTTGCCGTCCCCGCCCGTGGCGACGCACAGCTTGTTGAGCAGCCACGCGCTGCCGTAGAAGTCGTAGCACACGCGGCCCGGGCTCACCTGCAGCTCGGCGAACATGAGGTCGGGGGAGACGTCCGGGTCGCCTGCAATGTAAACATCGTCCACGTGCATGGTCAGTGACGGATCCAGAGGCGGCCTTCGCGTGGTGGAAGGGGGGGAGCAAAGTAGCACGATCTCCCACTTGCAGAGGAGAAATGTGGCTTTTCCCCCAGGGGCTTGAAGTGTTGACACGGCCCTGACACGTAACCACGGCGCCTGGAGGGTAGGCAGTCCCGCACCACTCCCCTGCGTTACGGGATTGCCTAGCCTGTCCTTGCAGGGGCCACGGCGCCTGGAGGGAGGCAGTCCCGCACCACTCCCCTGTGTTACGGGATTGCCTACCCTGTCCTTGCAGGGGCCACGGCGCCTGGTGCGGAGGCAGACCATGCCCTTCAGCCTCCGGCCATGGAGTGTGACGAGCAGGGTATGGCCTACCGTCTGCAGTGCGCTGGAGTACATTCCGCCAGCCGCTGGAGGGTGCCACGTCACAGCTGCCGGTGCGGGAACAGTCCTCCGGCGAACGCATGAGTTTCGCACCAGGCGTGATGTGGCGCCTGCAAGGGAAAGGAGATTACAAAACCCGCAGGAGATTGCGCGGTTGGCCACACGATCAACAGGAGGAGTATGCCTGGTAGCGACAAGTGCCTCGGCAGAAACATGGCGACATAATTTACGCACCCTACGGAATCAAGTGATGTGGCGCCTGAGAGAGGGGATTATCGTGAGATTACTAAAGCCTCGCGGTGAGATTGCGCGCCTGTTTCGGCTTCACCCGCCAACAGGATTCGGAGTTTGGCTGGTTAGCGACAGTGCCTCGAGAAACATGGCGACTTTTTTAGCAGGGATCCCCGCCAAAGTATTGGAAAGGTGGGGATGGCTGAATCGCTAAATAGGACTCGAACCGAACGTGTGACCCCACCAATGGATTGCTCGCTAACGAGGAAACCATTGGTGGGGTCACAAGTTCCGATCGAGTCCTGTTTCGCCACTCTGGAGCTCAAAACGCGTCTAGAGTTTTGGCCGGCTGGGCCGGTCTTCGGGCCCACTGTACAGCATCTTACAGTGGTCGTAGGTAAAAGCCGCGTTGAGGTGGATGAGCCCGATGTCGTTGTCCTTGAACCTGGCGTTGTAGGTGGGGTGCCTGAAGGACGTCGTGGTGTAGAACTGCTGGCGGGACGGTTCGTCGCCGTCCTGGCTGAGGAGCGAACCCGCCGTGACCCAGAACGAGTGCATCCTGACGGCCGAACCGAGACGCTCACTTAGTACAAATGGTTAATGCTGCCTTATAAGCCTTCATTTGTTTTACCAGTGCTGTTGTTACCCGTCCACGCAGTGACCGCTCGTCAGCGCCCAGTCCTCGGCGATGATGGCGCCGCCACAGAAGGCCGCCCCGTCGGCGACCACGGCCAGCATCCAGGGGAACTGGCCCAGCGCCGCCTTGGCGCCGTTGTGGACGGACACGGCCGCCGCGCCATCCTCCTCCCCTGCAGGGCGCAGGGCATGCGTCACCACAAGCGTCACACGTCACACAGTGGGCCAGACCGGTGGCGGCGGTCGAGGTCCCGGATGGATTTTGAGCTCCATCATCGCTCAATGGGACTAGAACCGAACGGGTGACCCCACCAATGGATTGCTCTCCGAATGAGGAATCCATTGGTGGGGTCACACGTTCGGTTCGAGTCCTGTTTAGCAACTCTGGAGCTCAAAACGCGTCTAGAGGTTCGGCCGTCGGCGCCGGTCTTCTGGCCCACAGTGCGCCAGAAACTTGTTTTGAGAAAGTCCGGAGGCCTCTTTTGCGTCTTTTGCAGCGAAACTGACGACACCGCAAATCCTTTGGTAAGTTTGTTTGCCACTCCATGAGCGGCGCTCCGTTTTGAACGCCACAATTTTGCCTCCTGGCCCGGAATGCCTTCTGAGAATGCCAACACTTGGCAACCCAGGCAAGGCAGCGGGAGTACTAAATTTGGGCACCCTCTGAAGGTGCTCCCGGGCCAGAAGGACATATTTTGGCGTTGAAAACGGAGCACCACTGGAAGTGGCAGGTAAACTTCCCGATGGATTTGCAGGGGGAGAGGGACCGTTTTGCACACATACCTAGCTGGTGGTGTCTGGTCGAGACGACACCGGCTCGACTCCCTGTGTAGACCTACGGCGGAAACTCCAACTAAGTTAACATTCAAGTTGGGGGTTCCAACTCGCAGCCTTGGGTTGCCTCCACATCGGTAACTCAGGCGGGTTGGTCGTCTCAGACACGGGGACAGTAGATTCAGAGCACGCCCTCAGTCAGAATAAGGGGTTCGAAACGACGTTGAATCGAAAGATCCATCGATTCTACTTCCCCTAATTCCAGCACTCTCTTCTTGGCACACAGCGTACTGACTCGTCCGGACTCGTCGGTCTGTCTCTCTCGCACCCTCACGGGATGCCTCACGGGATGCCGCACGAGTGCGAGAGAGAAAACACTGTTCGGAATCGGTCAGTAGTCCGACCTGGAGAAGGACGAGCACCCCGAGCAGCGGCAGCGGCCTCATCCTGGTCGCGGTGGAAGGCGGGCCGGGCCGCACTGCAGCACTGCAGCACTGCCGGACCACGCGACCGTTATCGAAGATCGAATCGAAGATCGAAGCGCGCATGGAAAACAAATAGATTAGATGCCCGGCCGGCACTCAATGGGCCAGAAGACCGGTGCAGGTGGTCAAAACCCCGGACGGGTTTTGAGCTCTAGAGTCGCTAAATGGGACTCGAACCGAACGTGTGACCCTACCAATGGATTCCTCGTTAGGAGAGCAATCCATTGGCGGGGTCACACGTTCGGTTCGAGTCCCATTGATCGACTCTGGAGCTCAAAACGCGTCCGGGATTTTGGCCGCATCCACCGGTCTTCTGGCCCACTGTGCGGCAGACACTGACGATCAAGTCTCAGTTGGTTTCGGGGACCCGGCGGACAGAACTTTTTTGGGCGATTCAGCCGCTGCAGACAATACAGCGAAGCTACATGGCGAGGACGCGCGCCGACAACTTCCCCGGTGTCTTCGCTTTGGATTCTACTTGGGACCCCTTTGGAAACGACCCCTCCCCTCCCTCAAGCCTCCCTCTCCCTTATTAGCGACCACGCCGAACAAGGTCTCCGAGACCCGAAACGCGTGTTTTCCGCACATTTGAGTGAGCGCCGGAGATGTACATCGTACACCGGCCTCGACCTCGAATCCGAACTTGAACCATTTCCACGCCTATTTATTTTTGTAGTGTTGGACACTGCTATGCTTTTCACAGCATGAACATGATAGGCTGGCTGGACCAGGAATGATCTTTTGCCGATTCAAGCCAATTTGGCACTAAAAAGTTGGTAAAAAGAGCATGTTTTTATAATTTTACCATTTTCTGTCAAATTTTTTTTTTAAATGCCAAAAGTAAATTGTGTGTGGTGTGGTGGAGCACCTCGCAGTGGCTCCAGGCATTATTCCCAGGTCCCTTCTAACGCTGATAGACCTGTCTCGTTGTTACAGTCCAAAGAATAAATGGTCATTAACGAAAAAAAAAACAGAGTCAATATTGGAAACTTTATTAAGAACAGAGCACTTCTAGGATCACCAACCTTAACATTCCAGTACAATGCATGGTTAAGAACGAGTGAGAAGGCAACATGCAACATTGTTACACCATGTGGAAATAAAATGGTACAAAACGAGGGTCAATCTTGAAGCTGGATACAAATGACTAATATTTATCATTCCAAAAGTTACACCTAAGTCGCAGTTTTGGGATGATTTATAAAATGCTGATCACATGATGCAGTGCATGTGCTTCTACAGGCACATGTTTCATGAAGTTCATAGGATTACATTGACAGTTCTTACACTTAAAAAAACAGAAAAAAAAAAGAATATTAATCATCTTTACAAAGCAAGTTATTCTTTGGACATGATAACATTCACATATTTACACTTGACATTGTTCACCAGTACTACCTTCTTTCAAAGTTTTTGTATCTTGTCAAGACAAATTCATACATAGTAGCAACACAGCATGCTTAAGAGAAAAAAAAACAGCAACAATTCTTTTAAATAACATTGGCATTATGAGACCATGAAAAGTCATTTACAACAAGTAAATACATTTTAAAATAACGGTGCATTACAGAAAAATCAAAAGGACATAAAGAGTGCCACAAATACAGTCTCAAAATCATATTGCTTTAGCTGCCACAAAAATCTTTTATTGATGGAAAATAGTATAGCAGAAAATCCAAATAGGAAAAAGCACAAGAACCCATTAAAGCCTCACAATGACACTTCATAGCGCTAGAAACCTACTCATCAGTTTGAAAACATTATAAATCTAATAAAATAAGTTATATATTTAACAATAATTACATATTTCAATCACAATCCAACCTGTAGCATATCTAATTATGTTCTAGAACATATGCCACACAAAATAAATCCAGTACAAAAGAGCTGCCATGGAATACTACTATTTAAAAAAAACTCATTCAGAACAAACTGACATGTACAATTAAAAGCAAGCAAACATATCATAAAAACTGTTTGACTTCTGAAGATAATGAATGAGGTAAAGAACAGGATAGAAAAATACTCAACCAGATCCATTAATGGACTATAAATTGCCTCTGGAAGTTCATTTTGAGGTGAGGCTTTCTTCTCAATATTACAAGTGGCTGAGATAATTGAAGGAGCAAATCTGACTCAACAAGGAATGATACATTGTATCTCAAATCAACACAGCAGGGTTTATTTAGAGAAAGTACAATTACTTTAAGTGCAGGAGAGGAAGAACTGTTTCAGTCAAACCCTGCACAGCAGTCAAGTTTGTTCCCTCTGCTGAATATTTTTTAAAAGATACTGTCCGTTTGGCTGCCTAAGCACTCGTCCACAGACACTTGCTGCACAGCCGCTCAAGGCAAGTCAGCGTATGGAGCGACAGTAAGCAACCAGCACCTGCGAACGAGGCAGCCAAACTTAGTGCCTCACCATGTACAGTTTTCAACAACTCTCTGAATAAATTATGACTGTTACCCTGTTGACATAATTGAAATACGATCCCAAGACATGAAAGAACAAAAAGGCTGTCAGAAACATGATTACGTAAGTTAAGAGTCAAGTAAAAAGGAATGGTTATGATTTTCAGCAGTTATCTGCGCACATGGCCATAGTTATCACAAAATGTAAATTTAAAACATCATGATTAAAATATTAGCAGAGGCTTTAATGGGAAAATAAAAGTCATATAATAATACTTTTAATTCTTTTATTTTGTTTTCTGACATTTTTTAAAAATTAAAACATTCTATGAATGGCCATAAATACCAACTTCCAGTCAGCGAGTTAGCTCTGTTACGACTAGGTCTTACCACATGACAATAAAGCTTAAGAAATCCTTAAACAACAGTCAAAAAACAGTAACAGAGTCACTACCTCACATCGGTACATTTTTGGGCGAAGTGGGTAATGATGCACCAGTGCAACCCTTTTGGGCGGCGCGTTTAATGTACAAGTCTAACAATTTGAGCTTGGGACCAGTGAGTTTTTCTAAATATGGAGCGAGAACATCCTCACCAAGTGCCACATGCAGTGCCACCATGCAGAATACTGCTGCTTTGCGTACAGAGCTTACCTCATTTTCATAAGCCTGAAACAAAAATTGATCATCAATATAATGAGCATATAAGGAATAAAGCATTTCAGTTTTTGAATCTGTTGAAGAAACAAAAAGGAAACTAACTTACCTTCATAATGCCTGGCATAAGATCTGATAACCGAGGTTCAATACTAGTTGCACCATGATGGTCAACAAGCTTGGTCAGCATTTTAATAGAGCTCTGATTGACAGGGAATTCACCAGTAACAATAAGGGGAATCAGAACATGAACAATTACATCAGACGGTAAGTGCTCTGCCATTGCCGAAGCACAAGTTTCAGAAGCCCTTAAAACCTGAAATGAAATTGCTACGGTTAAATCTTCATTCTATTCCAAGTTCAAAATAATAATAACATAAAAGAAAATCAGAAAGAATACGTACTTCATCCCTACTCACTTCCTTCACATCCCCATGGGACTGTAACACCTTTAAGACTAAAAGTTCCACAAACATTGAGAAGCAAGGAACTAATGAGGGCTTTTTAACCATTTCGGTCAAAACACTCAAAACAAGACAACGAACATTGCGTTCTGGTTTAAATATTTGGTGCATTAACACTCTTAGCAATGATTTGAAGTTGTCCATAATAGCCTGAGTGGAGCCATCCTTTACAAGGGACTCCAGGCGCTTCAAGGCATCAACTCTCTCTGATGCAGGGGCATCAGGTGCTTCTTCCTCAGCTCTCAGTGTTTGTACAATTTTCTGAATAGCTTCTTTATCCTCCTGATAAGCATCTTCCCCTGAAAAGCAGAGAGGTTGGATAAGCCACCACATATACAGTCGTACAAAACAATGGAGGGAATGATGTGGTTACCTTTTGAAATAAAACCATTTTCACTGTCATTTGAGTCCACTGAAATATTTTTGTCAAGTAGACCATTATACTTGTGTGTGGGTGATGGCAGAGAGGAGGCTCGACCCTGCAAAAATTACAAACAAAAGAGTGTAAAGAAAGCAAAAGTAAAAAAAAAAAAGAAAAAAAAAAGTTTTCATAATAAAATGTTTTTTACCGAGTTGGTTGATAAATTAAGATCTTCCATTCTCTCTTCCAATGCTTCCATCTTATCTCCTGGACCGACAGACATTTGACTAATGCCAGAATCCTGCGATGTTGTGTCCCTATCACGTTCACGGTCCAATATCTTTCCTGAATTGAGAGGTTCAAAGCTGTAACTCTGAATTTCAGCAGTTGTTCTCCGCAATGACCTGTAATCATGCATGAAGTACACATAAGTTTTCCGCTGGCAGATCAAAGGCAATCATGTGTTCAAGTAGAGCTGCTATGTTGGAGTGACATCTATTGGATGAACACAGCCTTGCACGCATTAGGAAACAAACTGACCTGTGAACTTCTTCTGGATTCAAGTTCTCATCATCTAAGTGGTGCAGATGGTGCTGCGGAATATTCGACGCATGATGCCCACCATAGTGGAGATTCAGCGTGCGCAGTGGTGAAGACCTTGCTCCAGTGGGGGTAGGAGTTCTGGGGGACTGCAGTTGAGGAGGAGTGGATACAGCAGAGGATGGAGGAGAGCTTAAAGTTGATGAAACACCATTGCTGTGACTCTGTCCATCACTACCACCTCCACTACTGCTTCTCCGAAGATCGCTTTGCACCAAACTATGAGCAGCTTCCTGAAAGGCAAATCAGGAAAATGGATTACAACAACTGAAAGATATTTTAAACTACAATGAAACTGACACAAACAAAGTGGCTACCTGGTAATCTTTTGGTAAAGAGGCAAGTTTCATAGTAACTAATGGGGTATTAAGGTTGAATAATGTTATGAGAGCCTGTTGTGCTGCTTTTCTGATGTCACCACCCTTGCCGCCTAACATTGACAGTTCTGTTTGAGTCCAGCTGATAATTTTGGCCAAGGCATTGGCAAACTGGTCGCTGCCACCTCCTGGGGAAGGGTTGGATGCTGCTGCAGCAAGGCCACCAGGATCCATCATTGCAGCCAGTTGAGTGAGGTACCTTAGAGTGGCCACCTTCACTTTGAGATTCGGTGTTTGTGCAGGATCCGTGAGGAAGCGCATTAGAGCACTCAATTGCAGTTCAAGTGGAAACATGTCCCTGGAAGAACAAAAAAAATATAAATAAATCCCAACCATCTTACTTTGATTTCAGAGTAACACAAACATTGTGGTGTGAATGGCTTACCGAACCACCTCTACAACTTTATTGATTTTAGTCTGTTGGCTCACTAGCAAATCAGCACCAGATTTATTCAGAAGTCTTGTCAGCAGAACATAAAGCCAATCATTCAGATCAGCATGATGGCTTACAATTAGTTCATGAAGTGTATCCAGAAACAAACTAAAAACCTGTGATGGTTTTGAGAAACAAAAGAGGAAATAAAGTAAATTAAATGCCTAAAACAAAATTTAGAGCCAAAACCAAATAAATTGAGAATGCTCCATAAACATACCTTGGTGTGAGAGTCCATGAACATTTTTGTGAAGATATCAGTAACACAGCGAAGTTCAGAGGCACTAAGAATGTTGCCTGCCTGAAAATAAGCTTGAAGCCCAAGCAGGCCTTCCTTACGATCACTCCAAAGAGTACTGGCACAGTTATCAATTATAGCGGCAATGTCCTGCAATGAGAAACGTTTTATTGTTAAAGTTAGTATAGTTGATGAACAAAATAAAAATATTAATATCAGACAAATTGCAGAGGACAATGATGCAAATGCTTCATTTCACAAGCAAATACTGCACAGGATGTTGACAAAATAAATCTTGGTAAGTGGCACATCAATTTAAACTCAAAACTGAATTATGAGTATGCTGAGATGACAAATAACACAAAATCTCCATACAAAATAGTTGTATGACCATGCAGATTTTTCACATGCACCAAAAAGCCAAGTGCCATTCATACAGTGCCAGAAAGGATGTTGATGTTGCATAACAGTCAAATGTCCACCCAAAGCTACGATATCTTACCTTAGGAGAGGGTTCCCACACATCACGATACAATCGCTGTTGTGAGCCGCTCCATGAGTATGACTGCAAGCGCAAGCAGCAACATTACAAAAATGTCAGACACATATCATGGTGATAATTGACACAAATGACATGAATTTTTTGGAAATATTGGGATAATGAGGCAAGACCCACTTCTTTACAGGGGTTCAAAGAATTAAGTTTTCCAGTCCCAATACAGGATGGGATGGCCCTACACCTAATTAGAATGTAACCCAGAATACAGAGAAAGTGCAATCGTATATTATGATAATCCTCATAGCATGCATTTTACTGTGACATGATATGGATTAGTTAGTCTTGCCACAATAAGATTGAAATATCCCCCACCATATTGCCAAGACACACAACATGAACACATGCAAATCATCACTCTGACAAAGCCATTACTGACGTATTGGATCATTCACTTAACTGGCACTAATAAATATACAAACTCTCTCAACAAGATCAGTATGTACAAGCAACTTAACCAGAATCATCTCAATTCCTTCAATAAGCAGGTTTTTACAACAACAACAACAACAAAAAAAAAAAGAAGGAAAACACCTTGCGTTCAGAATTGTTTAACTTACATCAGATGGTCTTCGGAATGATTCAAATGAGCGTTCTGAGCACACACTCGAAGTTTCACTCTCATCAGAATGATCATCAAAAGATCGGTATGATTTCCTCGGAGATCCCCTAGTATACTCAGGGCTTTCTATTGACTGTAAAAAGAGAACCAAGAATACAAAATGTTAACAGCAGTACAAGATTGTTACAGAGTAGTATGGCGTGGTATAATGAAAATTGAAGCACACAACATATCCATGTGAAAAAAGAAATGAGATCATTCGTACATGTCCTCTGCTCACCAGAGCATCCGCCAAAGCTGACTCTGCTTCTCTACTCTGCTGTAAAATCTTCTGTGCCATGACTGGGCGGCCAGTTGATATAGGAGGCCTGTCAGAAGGTGACATTCCATGCCTGCCCCTGCAAATTGCAAAGTCAAATGGTTAAAACACTGCAACACTGACTGGAAGGCGATGGAGGGAGGGAAAGCGCATAGCATTTCTTACCGAAGCTTGGAACCAAATGATCGGTCATAAAGATGGCCACCTAATGCACCGAATCTGTTGGGACTCGTTTCCCGCGAAGCGTCCCTGCTGCCTTGTGTGGAGCGGGGGATGCCAGAGGCCAGCCGCCTGGGGCGGCCCAGTGTTCCCAGATAGGAGGGGGAGCCATCAGTTGCGTCTCCTTCACCCCTGTTGTACCCGTAGGTCACGTAGCTTAACCGTGATGATGGGGAACCAGATCGACTTGTTGCTGGTGATGGTTAAAGATATTTGTTACGACATAAAACCTAATTTAGTTTAAAAGCTTTTTGTGCTGACCAATTTGAGATTACTTACGTTGGGATTGAGACACTCCAGCAACTCTTGTTCTTGTCCGACTCGTGCGTTCTGGTGAAGTTACCATGGGAGACTTACGTGCACGTGCTGAAAAATTGAGAAACCAAATGAACTAATGCCAAGCTTCAAATGCTTTCCGCAAAATATCCTTACACGAGTGTATCTTCAATGTAACACCAATTTAAGTTTTTCATATATGAATACTTTTGAGCACTAGGTTACTAAAGCCCTATCTACAGAGGACTTACCATCCTCATCATCTATTGGCAGCATGAAACAAGTCACACACAGAAAGTAAAACATTAATGCTATCTTTTGTTTCGGTCCAATTAATATAAATAAAAACCATCTTGTGTTCATATGCAATGATTGCACCATCAAACAGCAAAAGCACAAAATTGTTAAGTTCCAAAAGATTTTTAAAAATTCTGTAGACTTACGCAAGGAAGTGCCAGATCCCACTTTCTGTCTGGATAAAGCTGCATACTGGGCACGAACTTTAGCTCTTTGGGCTGCAGCTGCATCAATAGCTGAGTTTGAGCGCATCATTGAAGATGGTGAAGGTGAAACCATACCACGCCGCAAGCCATCTGCAGGACAAATAGTGGCAAAATAAGCAATGTTTTAGCTTGTGCGAGCTTCAAACTACACATGCAAAATACAATGATGAAATAAGAGACTGAAAATTAAACAAAAAACAACCCACTGGAACTAAAATTTATATATATGAAAAAAAAAAAAAAAAAAAAACAACAAAAAACGGTGTGGCAACATACACAAGGAATTCAAAACTATGAGAGGCTCTAAGAACTGAAGTAAAAATGAAACATTGTATACAAAAGAAATGGAACTCAAAATCAAATCTGATTACACTATCTATCAATAAATGTAACGATTCTAGATTGCAACTAAATATAAAAAGAAGCAAACAAAAGTAATACTTTCAGAAATGGCAAAAATCTGTCCTACTCATACTAATACTGCTTGAAAATCTCAAAGAGACTCAAAATTAAAATTAATCTGGTAAAAACGGCTGACGACTAGGACAGTGTACCTGCGTCAATAGATTTAGGTCCAGCCGACTGTGGCTTGGGTACAGGAATTCCTGATCGGTGCCCGCGAATAGACGAATGACGGTACAGAGTTTGTGAATGTTGTTGGTATAAATTTTCTGTACTTCCTGAATCGCCACGGGGAAAAGGTCGCGGAAGAGACATGTTTAGTACCCCAAGTTGAGTTCCAGTATCCAGTTAGTAAACAGGTATTAAAGAATTATTTAACTATGAAGTGTACCTTGTGCGCTTCCTATAGGCCGACTGCGAGAAGTTGGGGTGGAGATCTGACCGTAGCGACTGGGAGGTAAAGATGCTTGATGATGAAGAGAAGAGTTGGAGCTTGAGTTGGATAAGCTGAGTTCACCAAACAAAGCCCGTTTGTAGGAACTATCTAAGGTGTTCAACAATGCATCAGCCTGCTCAGGAAAGTGATCCTTGAAGCCCCAATATGCTCTGAAATAGAATATTTTATCAGATAAGAGTGATATTGACCATGACCCAATCATCTCTAAGAAATTGAATGACTCCTAATACATACTTGCGGGATGTCAGTCTAGCTTCAGCATCAGCATCAGAAATACCCTTTTTGATAGCTTCTTGCAAGAGTGGGATGTGCTTTTCTAAAGAGTATCGTGACCAAGTGTGAAGTAGTTGGTCCAGGAATTCACAGCAGGCACGCCGAATGTCTCGAGACTTATTGCTTATATTTGATACAATAATTGGCACAAGTCGAGGAGCATGAGTGTACTGAAGTATGAAGCGAATTGTGACTACACCTGCAGAGGCAACAACCTAGATGAAGGATAGAAGATATTAGTGACACAAGTTTTCTGGGAAAATTACATAAAGTTCTTGGAAAACAAAATACCTTAGCGGAGTTCTGAATAAGATGGATAAGATTAGGTAAGACCTGCTCAGCGAAATGGTCCATCTTCTGCTTCAGTTGATGTGACAAATATGCTACTGAAATACAGGCTTCTCTTACAACCAAAGACCTGTGGCAGAAAGAAATTAAAAAGGATTAATTAAATGCTAAGAAGTATTATGGGAGCAATTGAAGTATCAGTATCCCTCTGAACAATCAACAAAGAAGGTTCAAAGTACAAATTGAAATATGAATACCTTAAATCCTTTATTGACGCTTGAAATGGGTGTTCAAGTAGCCTCAAATGAACATACAATTCTTCAAAATTTGCTGCCCCAGCCACTAGTAAAGAGCGGATTTTTTTGAGCTGAAAGAAAATAGTGGATAAGAAGACATGTACACCACAAACTGTAACGTAATGTGACATTATGAGAAACTTACAGCATCCACCCTTTTGCTCCAGTCTTTGGTTTGATCTGCTATCGTCTCTCTAATCTGATTCAGATGATCTTCTAGTTCCCGGGCAGAAAATAGCTGCACTTGAGGACAGTCCTCAAACAGGCGCATGAATTGTTCTTCATCCATAGCCCCTGCTTGACCTAGAAACAAGCAACACAAATGTTAAATAGTTGAAAAGTGAAATGAATTTTAACATCTATCTATCTGGTGCATTTCTCTACAATTTTGTGAATTGACGACTGTTGGCCAGCCTCAGAAGTAAACAGTAATAAATGTTTTGTTACATCGTTTATGAACAAAATGCAGCCATGCGCTGTACAACAAAGCATGTCAAACACAGGTTTAATTCAGAGTACATAAAGTTTTAAAAAGCTCTTACCTGCTGCAGATGGAGTTCGCTTTAGAGAAGAAACTCTCTTGAGCGAGGTTGACGATAGTGGAATGCCTGCATGCGTACAAGCGCCAAGCGTTAGTGTAATTCACAGACAAACAGACATACATACATAACTGAACAGGATAGAGGGATACATGCTATAAGGGCTATTGAATTAAGGGAGGAGTATATTCTTTTCCAATGAAAGCATATTAAGTTGTTCAAAGTTACAAGCTAGCTTGACATAAATTGGATTATCAGTACGGCATGAGGCATGCATGAAAGTTTGCTTTGTGCCAAAGGTAGTGCTATAATAATTTACAATGGAGAAAATCAGGAGAGGGCAAGCTGCGTTTGTTTGGCTCATATTAATACAAAGGGAGTTTCACAGGTTTTGAAACACATTAACATACATCGGGGGCATAAATGGATAAGAGTCATGCAGGGAATTTTTCATTTCTTTCTCCTTGCTTGCTGCAAAACTTCCAATGCGGCATTGCACAGTAACACGCAATAGGGACACAAACCTGGGCCTTTCCCTGCAGGCGCAGAAGCCTTGGTGGCTTTCATCTTGCCATGGGCAATACTTTGAGCCCTGAGTGCTTTCTTCATCTTGAAGCACCACTTCTAACACTTCCCCAGCAAGGATGGGTGAATCTTAAATTCACACCGAATCAAAGTGACAGGGCAGCAATGGATAAAAATCCCACTGTAAACTACGGGTGGAGGGACACGACGCGAAGAAACAAGCGGCACCACTAACTATGCACAGAATTTCAGCAGAACCCGACTGAAAGCTCACTGGGTTTGGCTCGAAAGGGGTCTGCAGCAGGACCTGCCCCCCTGGTTGGGGAGGGGGAGGGGGGGGGGGCGTGGGACAGCGGGGTTCAAGCGACCATCTGACTTGGGCCAAAAGACCGACAGGCAGACAAGGACCGACCTGGCACGGACGCGGGCGCGGGTTTGGCAGCCGTCAGTAGGTTCCTCTTGACCGCGATGGGCGGGGCGCCGGTCACCTTCTTGGCAGACATTTTCTGAAACAAAAATCAAATCCGTCCAAGACTTTGAAGAGGAGCCCCTTTCCAAAGCGTGGTTTTGGCGGTGCATGCCGTGGCGTGGCGTGGCAGTGCCATTGCACCGCTGCGCTCGAAATAGAGGGAGACCCCGCGACGCGGCGGACGCGGCGGACGCGAGTTCCACTCGGTGCGATCCAAGAGCGGGACCTCGAGCGGGACGCTCTGTCTCTCTCGCACTCATAGTGCGTTCCGGGCGGGTGCGAGAAAGACAGAGCGACTAAACAGTGTGCAGAACCGTCCTCCAGGAGCGCCGCATCACACGCCCACAGTGAGCCAGAAGACCGGCGGAGGACGCCAAAACTCTAAACGCGTTTTGAGCTCAAAAGTCGCTAAACAGGACTCGAACCGAACGTGTGACCCCACCCATGGATTCCTCGTTTGGACAGCAATCCATAGGGGCGGTCACACGCTCGGTTCGAGTCCCATTTAGCGACTCTGGAGCTCAAAACGCGTCTCGAGTTATGGCCGCCTCCACCGGTCTTTCGGCGTGCTGCGGGGCGCCTCGACCATTAGTTCCGTCGCTCTGTCTCTCGCACTCATTCTCATGGGGCGTTCCGGACGGGCGCGAGGAAGACAGAGCGACAAAGCACTGTGCCGCACGCCCTCCAGAAGCGCGCCGCCGCACGCCACCGGCTCCGAAGAGTTCTACTTACGACTGCTCTGTCCACCTCGTCCTCGTCACGCATCGCTGCAACACAGAGAGAAGGACAAAACGTCAGTCAAATGTTCCAAAAAAAAAAGTTAACATCTTACAGTGTAACACAGCCAGTGGCGGGACAACGCAACACATTGAGAGAAGGGCCAAAGGCCGGCAGTCGAATGTTCCGAAAACTTAAAATAACCATCCTAGTATACAGTGTAAGACTGCCAGTGGGTCACCGCCACCGCAGACCAGGACGAAGCGCGCCATTTCGGGTGAAATTCAATCCCGAATCGCACGGCGCAGATCACGGATCAAGCTCAGACCGCACAGATGGATATCGCCTTGCCGCCTTGCCATGGCGCCTGCCCCGCCTGCCGGCCAGGCGGAAGGGAAGACCACACCGCCATCTGCACCCGATCGCCATCCGCTGCTCCTTTTCACTTTCACGAGGCCGGCAGACTCATTCCGAGAGCCGTTTTCGTCGCTCCGTCTCTCCCGCACTCGAGGGGCGTCCAGTACCGGTGCGAGAGAGACGGAGCGACGAAAACGACTCCCGGAATCAGTGCGCTGGTCTCTGTGGGACCAGGAACGGATCCAGGATTCTCCAGCGCGTTACTTGCCTATCTTCCAGGCGGCCTACTTAGTATCCGAGGAGCTCCAATAGGACTGAAGCCTCAAGACCTTCAGCAGGAATGGATCGAACAAGAAGGACCTTCAGCCCGACTGAATCGCCCAAAAGGACTTTTCAGCAGGACTGAATCGCCAAGAAGGACTTTTCAGCAGGACTGAATCGCCAAGAAGGACCTTTCAGCAGGACTAAATCGAGTAAATCACCCAAAAGGACCATCAGCGGGACTGAATCATTTAGAAGGACCTCCAGGATTGAATCACCCAGAAGGACCTTTCAGCAGTATTGAATCACCCAAAAGGACCTTCAGCGGGACTGAATCATTAAGAAGGACCTCGAGCAGCTTTGAATAACCCAAAAGGGCCTCCAGCAGGATTAATCCTCAGGACCGTTAGCAAGACTAGGTCCTCAATAAGTCCACGAGATCCTCCAGGACTTTCAGCGAGGATCGCAAAGGACTCGGAGGACTAATGAGGGTGAGTCAAGACATGGGCGTGGCCCTTGGCGTGGCCGTACTCGCCGCTATCCGCCACGGCGACAACAAAGGCCGGAAACTCATCCAATTGTGCGTCGAGCGACTAGAACAGCGCCGCCGCGGGCTGATTCCGGACAGCGCTCTGTCTCTCTCGCACCCCTACGCAACGCCCCGCGGGTGCGAGAGAGACAGAGCGCGGCGAACCACTGCGGCGACGCCGCCGCGCCTCTAGCCTCGCGACGGGGCCCGGCAGGCCGGCAGGCTGCCGTGCCGTGATCCCCCGGGGCCGCAATGTCTTCACCGTCATCTCGCGTTACTGTTTTCGCCTGCAGTTGGCTTGACTTGCCGACGGCCGATCTCGACCGTCTCTCTCGCACTCACGGGGCGTGCCGCTGGGGTGCGAGCGAGACAGAGGACCAGTGGACCAGCAACGCGGCTGTCACACTGCAGATTGATTCCGAGAGAAGTCATCGTCGCTCTGTCTCTCTCGGGCCTACAGGGGACGCCCCATGAGTGCGAGGGAGACAGAGTGGCGAAAACGACTCTCGGAATCAGTCTTGCCGTTTGTGATTGCTTCACACTTTCGTTCGCCGGAGGAGAGCCCTACGCAACGGAGTCACAGCGCACTGCCGCAGCACTGCCACGGCACTGCGGTGCCAGTTGCAGCGATCCCCGCCAGAGGGCAGCAAGCCTGTGCAGCACGCGCGCAAATTACCCCGCCGTGCGTGCAGCACACTGATTCCGAGAGCCGTTTTCATCGCCCTGTCTCTGTCGCGCCTGCATGGGGCGCCAAACGGGTGCGAGAGGGGCAGAGCGACGAAAACGACTCTGGGGATCAGTCGGCAGTGCAGTGCAATGACTCGCCCAGACTGCGCCAGACCGCCCGACAAAAAGGAGAAAGGTTTAGACGCAACTGTGTCCACTCGCCACTCCACTGCACGCGCCGCCAGCCGCGATGCCGCGGTACCCCGCGCTCCACGCTCGCTGCCAATCTCAAAGGACCGGCGCGCAGTGGGCCACAGGTCCGGTGGAGGCGGTCAAAATCCCGGACGCGTTTTGAGCTCCAGAGTCGCTAAATGGGGCTTCGAACCGAACGTGTGATCCCAACAATGGATTGCTCTCGGAACGAGATATCGATTGGTGGGGTCACACGTTCGGTTTGGGTCCTGTTTCGCGACTCTGGTGATCAAAACGCGTCTAGAGTTTTGCCGCCTGAGCCGGTCTTCTGGCCCACTGTGCGGTTCGGCGCGCGGGGTAGCGACGCCGCCGGCGACAGGGTCAGTCAGTCCTCCTCGCTTCTCCCCGCCGGCGACGCGCACAGTAGAGTTTACAGTTCACGGGGGTCTCCGCTCCCCCTCCCCGTCCGTTCTGTCAATTAGATTCCCGTTCCCGTTCCCCCGTCGCCGTGCTCCAAGGTCGCCTGGTGGCAACGCACGTCTGGCCGCGCCGCGACGGACCGGCACTCTCATGGTGGCACCATGGAAGCACACCATGAGAGCGAGCACCATGGAGGCACCATTGCACCACGGTGTAGCCAGACCCAGACCCCTTCGACCGTCCATTGAATGAATCAGGTTGAGTCCACGGGGAAGTGCAAAGGGAAGTTCAAAGGGAAGTGCGAAGGGAAGTGCGCAAGGCTTAGTCCAAGTCCAGGGAAAAGTTCAGGGAAAAGTCCAGGGGGAAGTGCCAGTGCAAAGGGAAGTGTAGAGAAAAGTCGAAAGGGAAGTCCAAAGGCAAGAGCACAAGGGCAAGTCCGTCTCATGGCATGGCATGGCGATGGCCACCTCACGGCACGGCACGGCAGTTCCAGAGTCGGCCGGCTCGCCCGACGAGTCGCGGACGGCAAACAGAACCTTTGCCGCGGCGTCGTCTCTCCCGACCATTCATGTGTGCTTTTTCGCGCGCCTTGAAACAAACCTCGAAAAAAAGGACAGAGAATGGGCACTAACAAGAATAGTGGTGGCAGCGCGGGCGTGCGAAGTGCGAGGCTGTGTGGCGAGAGCCCATGGCGTGTCTCTGTTTGCGAAGCATGACGTAAACCTCGCCATGGGCCCCGGCCCGGCCCCGGCCCGGCCACGCCATGGAGGCAGGTGCCTCATGACCCGGCATTCCAAACAGCTCAATAGAGGCGCGCGAGGCTGGGCCGGCAGACTGATCCCGAGAGTCGCTTTCGTCGCTGTCTCTCTCGCACTCATGGGGCGTCCCGTATCGGCGCGAGAGAGTCAGAGCGACGAAAAGGACTCCCGAGATCAGTCTGCAGCCAGGCTGGCACGCACCGGCCGGGGCGGGAGTTTCCAACATCCGGAGCGCGCCGAAAAAGCGCAATTGTGTTTTGCTGAAAGGGGACGCACGCCAAGGTACCGAAGGTGCGGGCGCTTTCCGGCCCGTTTGCGAACCGTGGCCTCGCGCTGTCTCTCTCGCACCCATGGGGCGTCGTGTGGGGGTGCGAGAGAGACAGGGGAGGACACTGGAGGGAGGCCCGCAGAATGTCCTGGAGTGGAGACGCTGCTGGCCTACTGCCAGGAGTCCGATCCTGATTGCCGCTGTCTCTCTCGCACCCCTCGCGGGACGCCCCACGAGTGCGAGAGAGACGGGGCGACGACGGGCGGAGGGGCTGGCGCGGGCTGGCGTGACGATACGCCACGGCGGGGCTCCGCGACGCCCTGCAGACTGATTCCGACGGTCGTTTGCGTCGCTCTGTCTCTCTCGCACTCATGATGCGTCGCGCATAGCTGCGAGAGAGACAGAGCGACGAAAACGACTCTCGGAATCAGTCTCCTGACTCTCCGCGCTAAGCACGGCGTTTAAGTTCGGAACGAATGAAGCGACGGTGGACCGTTCGTCCGTCTCGTTCGGGACGGAGGAGCTTGCGTGCCGCACCGGCAGACTGTTCCCGGGGCTGGACGGTGTCTCTCTCGCACTCATGGGGGCGTCCCGCGAGGGTGCGAGAGAGACAGACGGGGATCATTCGCCAGTCCGCGGCGCGGTGCGTTTCTCTCGAGGAAAGTCAAGTCAAGATCGGCCGGCCATTTGGCGGGTGTGGCCCTTCCTGGGAGTTCCCCTTCAAGATGAAGATGGCCCGAGGAAGGGGCATTAGCCCGACGGATAAAGAGGTCCGCACACCAGAGAGGTCCTGGGAGGGTCCTGTGAACACTAGAGAGGTCGTCAAGAGGCGCCACGAGGTTGCAAGCAGTTAGAGAGGTTCTGGAGAGTCAGATTTTGAGGAAAGCACCGAACCTGGCGACTCTGAGGCAAAGTGCTGACGACTCTGAGGGAAGTCCTATGCGAGGAACTAAGAGAAGTCCTGAGTGCTTAGCATCAAGCCCGCGAGTGCCAGACACACAAGCCGCCATCCCACAGTGGTCCAGAATACCGGTGGAGGCGACCATAACTCTAGACACGTTTTGAGCTCCAGAGTTGCTAAATGGGACTCGAACGGAACGTGTGACCCCACCAATGGATAGCTCTTCACACGAGGGATCCATTGGTGGGGTCACACGATCGGCTCGAGTCCTGTTTAGGGACACTGCAGCTCAAAACGCGTCTAAAGTTTTGGCCGCTTCCACCGGCCTTCTGGCCCACTGAGCATCCTTCCCGCCGACGATTGGCACCTCGCTGCAGCGCAGCGGAATCTGGCTGCAACGCCCGCACCGCCCGCAACGCAGCCGCCGTGTTGCAAGGCGAGGCGCGGCGAGGCGCGGCAAGGCGCGGTTCGCTCCGGTGAGTCAACCGCGTCCACCGCGTTTCCAGAGTTAATCGAGTCGAAGCACACCGCGGCGACGCCAGTGGGCTGAGTGGGCGGTCTCTCTCGCACTCGCGGGGCGCTCCGTGCCGCTGCGAGAGAGACAGAGCGACGAAAACGACTCCCGGAGTCACAGGCAACGCCAGGCAACGCCAGGCAACGCGCACCACGGCGCTAAGTCACGGCCACCGAGACGGCCT